TTTGAGAAGACATGATTGCTTTGATTAGTATGCTTGAAGTATTATTATTTTTGTGTCAATATGAACTTTTGTCTTGAAACTTTCGGATCTGAATAATCATATCACAATTAAGAAGATTTACATTGAAATTATGCCAAAGTATCACTCCGCATCAAAAATTCTTTTTTATCATTTACCTACTCGAGGACGAGTATGAATTAATCTTGGGGATGCCTGATACGTCTCCAATGTATCTATAATTTTTGATTGCTCCATGCTACTTTATCTACTGTTTTGGACTATATTGGGCTTTATTTCCCACTTTTATATTATTTTTGGGACTAACCTATTAACTGGAGGCCCAGCCCAGAATTGCTGTTTTTTGCCTATTTCGGTGTTTCGAAGAAACGGAATATCAAACGAAGTCCAAACGGAATGAAACCTTCGGGAACGTGATTTTCTCACCGAACGTGATCCAGGAGACTTGGACCCTACTCCAGGAAATGCCAGAGGCGGTCACGAGGGTGGAGGGCGCGCCCCCCTGGGCGCGCCCCTACCTCGTGGGCCCCATGTTGCTCCACCGACGTACTCCTTCCTCCTATATATACCTACGTACCCCCGACAGATCAAATACGGAGCCAAAAACCTAATTCCACCGCCGCAACTTTCTGTATCCACGAGATCCCATCTTGGGGCCTGTTCTGGAGCTTCGCCGGAGGGGGCATGCACCATGGAGGGCTTCTACATCAACACCATAGCCCCTCCGATGAAGTGTGAGTAGTTTACTTCAGACCTTCGGGTCCATAGCTAGTAGCTAGATGGCTTCTTCTCTCTTTTTGGATCTCAATACAATGTTCTCCCCCTCTCTTGTGGAGATCTATTCGATGTAATCTTCTTTTTACGGTGTGTTTGTTGAGACCGATGAATTGTGGGTTTATGATCCAGTATTATCTATGGAAAATATTTGAATCTTCTCTGAATTATTTTATGTATGATTGAGTTATCTTTGCAAGTCTCTTCAAATTATCCTTTTTGGTTTGATCAACTAGATTGGTAGTTCTTGCAATGGGAGAAGTGCTTAGCTTTGGGTTCAATCTTGCGGTGTCCTTACCCAGTGACAGAAAGGGTTGCAGGGCACGTATTGTATTGTTGCCATCGAGGATAACAAGATGGGGTTTTTATCATATTGCATGAATTTATCCCTCTACATCATGTCATCTTGCTTAAGGCGTTACTCTGTTTTTAACTTAATACTCTAGATGCATGCTGGATAGCGGTCGATGAGTGGAGTAATAGTAGTAGATGCAGAATCGTTTCGATCTACTTGTCTCGAACGTGATGCCTATATACATGATCATTACCTAGATATGCTCATAACTATGCTCAGTTCTATCAATTGCTCAACAGTAATTTGTTCACCCACCGTAGAATATCTGTGCTCTTGAGAGAAGCCACTAGTGAAACCTATGCCCCCCGGGTCTATTCTCATCATATCAATCTCTATCGCTTTATTTACTTGCTTTGTTTTTACTTTGCCTTTTACTTTTCACTTTGCATCTATCTATCAAAAATACCAAAAATATTATTTATCATCTCTATCAGATCTCACTCTCGTAAGTGACCGTGAAGGGATTGACAACCCCTAATCGCGTTGGTTGCGAGTAGCTATCGTTTTGTGTAGGTACGAGGGACTTGTGCATGGTCTCCTACTGGATTGATACCTTGGTTCTCAAAAACTGAGGGAAATACTTACGCTACTTTGCTGCATCATCCTCTCCTCTTCGGGGAAATCCAACGCAGTGCTCAAGAGCTAGCACAAGCCAGCTTATGAAGACCGCAAACGCAAGTTTGAACCCAAGAAAGACAGATAGATGGTTCAGAAGGCTCGCGCCTGGCAGCAGCCTCAGTTTGAGTTCAAGCCAACATGGCAACAGAATGCCAACAAGACCGAGAATCACATTAAGAACCTTGTGACCAACCCCGTGCGTGAAGATTGTCATCGTAACAACGCGTTTTTCATTTGTGGCCAGACCGGGCACTATGCAAGGCAGTGTCCCAAGAACGGCAAGCGAATACCCCACTCAAGCCACAAGTCAACAACATTGAGTCTTTCCCCGCTCAACAGCTCATCCAAGGGCAAGTGCATCATCTCTCCGCTGAAGAAGCCCAGGAAAACCCAGAAGAGGTCATTGGTATGTTTCCTGTTAACAACATACCTGCAACAACTTTATTTGATTCTGGGGCTTCCCATTCTTTTATTTCGCGGAGTTTTGTTGCCCAAAACAAGTTTTCCTGCTATCTTCTTGAGAAATTCATGGTGATACAATCCCCGGGATCCATGCTCAAAACAAATGTGGTATGCCGTGGTCTAGAGATAAACATCCATGGACTTATTTTCCCTGCCACCTTGGTCTCGATTGAATTAGCAAAATTGGATGTCATAGTCGGAATGGACTAGCTCACAAGACATCAAGTTTGTATCAATTGTGCAACTAGAGAAGTCACATTAATCAATCCAACAGGACAAGCAACACAGTTTGTGGCTCGTAGAACCATGCCAAAAAGGGATATGATCTTTACAGTGGTAACCTCAGGCATGGATTTAATCCCAGTGGTCAGCGAGTATCCAGACGTAATCCCTGAGGAACTACTAGGAATTAATTTACACACTAATATTATATTGATGGCACTTGTTATGATGGATGATATGTCAGTATCATCAAGTTGATTTCCTTTGTGATCTGGAGGTGATCAACATGGTAAGATGATGAAATTGGGTTACACGGTAACCAAGATGGTAAGCTGGTCCGCTGGACCATGTGTTTCGATCACTTTATGAGAACCATGTCATATTCTTGCATATAACCTGCTTAAATATCATGTTGTTGTTTGTCATTGTTGTATTGGTTGTTGTGAGCTTGCGAATACATTCAAAGTACTCACCTGGCGTGTTGTGACAGTTTCAGGAGAAGTCGTACCAGAAGTCGGAGTTGCATCGGGCATCGCAGTCTAGGCCGCGTCCACATCAGTGTCCCTATGAGATGGAGTCCTACTACGCCGTCTTTCCGCTGCCGCGTAGTTGTGTCGTTATCTTCGAGGCCCCCCATCATGTCCACTAAATAATGTACATATGTGCAGCATCACCGTGTGTGCCGCTTGGCCTTGCTACCTTATGTATCATCAAAGCTATGTTCCCACAAGATATCAATAGCGCGGTTGCTTTTCTGTACCAAGTTGTTGTGTGTTGCCAGAAGACATGATCTCTGGGCTGGCAATGCAAGGTAAACCGGTTGCTCTGAGACGGGGTGCCACATACATGCTTCTCTAGTCCATCACTTTGACACATGTTGTAGTGGTAGTGACTTGATATTTTTTAAATCATGAACTTAATGCCACAAAATATCCCAGTTCTATCAAAGTGTTGCCGACCGCCACAAATGCTTCAAATGGTCACTGGTAATTTTCTACTCCTGAAAACTAAAATCTCCTACTAGGTATCCATTATCAGCATCCAATGCCTTGGTGCAAGTTGCGAAGGATAATTCGTATTCACCTTGAAGCACTTCAAATATAACAAGCACGACCCATGTCTGGTGGGCCACGGTCGGTGTAGATTCCAGGAGACCCTTCGATACGACACCGTGACTAGCCAAAAAGTCCAGAGGGGAAACATGAAGCAAGATTACCTAAGTTCAGGCCTCGCGCCGGAGGTGAAACCTTACTCATGCTCTTTTTGTATTGATTGGATGGGGAACAAAGAGCATACGGGAGGTTGTATTGATCATTGGTATACCGAAGGGTGAAAATTGATGTGTTTATTGAGTAGCCCAGCCATGGCTTCTAAAGGATGTCAGGCATGCAACACACGATATTGAATTTCAGTCTTCTGTATCTACCCATACTTTCATCAATAAGTTCATGGATGATATTCACGATGTCGAGGAGAAGTCGCCAGAGACGAGAGCGAGCAGTCCAAAGATAAACACCCTACCAAAGTTGTAGATGGCCCCCTCTATCGAAGAATGGGAACCGTGGTTCTTCGGTGGCGGTGTGCCGAGATGAGAATGCTTGCTATTAGGGTGCCTCGATTAAAGCGTTTGAGGGCATAATATCTCCAAAAATCTTAGAAGGGACAACAAGGGGTGAAGCAATGTCCTTGGGGACTGATATCCAAGCTATGAAGGTGATGTTCGTTTCAGATTGCTTGAACGTGATCAAGAACCTGCACTCGGGGAATAGGCTCACCAACTATGGTTCAATTTTAAAGGAAATTGATAGCATGAATGATATGTTCGAGTTGTTCATCTTCGACCATGAACAGAGAGAGTTTACTATGAATGTGCATGCTTTAGCGAAGTTTTGTATATACCTTAGTGGAGGTAGAGGCTTTTGGTTATTGGGGAACAATAAAACTCTCACCTTCTTCCAAAAAAAAAAGATTTCACAACAAACCAAAAGTTAAATATTTCAGCATGGCAAATCGAACGTTTTTATACCAAATTAAGTGTCGCAAAGATTTTCCATTAGTTAGTAAGTAATAGCAAATCCTTGCGTATTATGTTTTTACCAGAATTTGCCATACTTGCCAAAAAAAATGTCACCCTCACGATAACATAATTTATATAACAAAAAAAAACGTCCAATTTACCATGGTTAAAAATCCAACATTTTTAACATTAATGTAAATAAAACAGCACCACCTTCCGCTGGCCCGCACGTTCCACGGGACACCCCGCCCGAAGCGGATAGCACCGCGGCGCCCGATCCTCCGATGCCGAATGCCAATCGAAACAGAAACCCCAATCAGTTTCGCAATCCTCAGCACAGCCAGCAAACGGAAGCGATTCCAACCCGATCCCGACTGCGGAGGCCGGAAATCCCCCGAAATCCAAGCCCCCTCCTTTCGGTATAAATCCATCCCCGCATCGCAGTCTCTCTCGCTTCCCCTGGTCCTCCTCTAGTCAAATCTGTCTGTCTACCCGGCTGCGCTAACCTAGGGTTTAGTCAGGCGGCCAGCGGCCATGGAGGGGGAGTGCCCCGCCGCTCCGACGCGCCGCTGGGCGGAGAACGTGATCGTGCTGTCCTCGGGGAGGCCGCCGCGGTCGGAGGAGGCGGCGGTGGTGGCGGGGCAGGGGCAGCACCAGCGCACGGATGCGCCGCCGGAGAAGCTCTACTACAAGACCAGGCTCTGCGACAAGTACGAGGCCACCGGCCGCTGCGTGTACGAGGACGGTTGCACCTTCGCGCACGGCCGCGCCGAGCTGCGCCCGCCGGTCCCTCCCCACGCCCACGCCGTTTGGCGCAGGCCGCCCGACCAGGAGCACGGCGGCAGGATCGTCTACGGCGGCGGCAAGGCGTGCCACAACTTCAGGGACAGGGGCCATTTCGGGGACAAGCTCGCCTCCCCCCACGCCGCCGCGCCGGCACCACCTGGTACGCCCGCTGCCTATGCTACTCTATCTAGATCGCGCTCGCGCGCAAGTGTCCATGGCCGATCGCGTCGGGATCTCACGAAACAATGCCCTCGATTTGTTGACTCCCCCATCCTGTCCAGGTCACCCGATTCGCATCACCGGGGACCAGAAGCTGCTGGCGGACGAGCGGAGGAGCGCCACGCCGCCCGCGATGCCACCCGCAGCGCCGCGCTACGCTGCTCTGGGCCCCGCCAGGGCGTTTCCGCCGGTGCCTGCCCCGGCCACGCGTGATCGTCTTCGCCAGATGCCCGAGGAGGACGGTGGCAAAAAGCCCAACAGGCTGATGCTCATGAGCCTCCGGAAGACCAGCGGCATCTACGGCGACTGGCCGGAGCAGTGCTGAAACCGATTGATCAGCCTGAGCCGTCACCATGGTCGCATACCCCATATATAATTGGCAGTGCTGATACAAAGTACTCCAATTGTTGAAAGGGGGATTCATTTTTCTCTGAAGGTGAACAACTTTATCATGGTGGTATTTACCTGTACTGTATAATTCCAATTGTTGTGATTAATCGGAGTCATGTTGTCAATCATCTAAAGGCCCAAGCAGTCACCCGAGGCATGATACCATAATTTGCTAACGAGGTTCATCAATTTGGCTACATTCCATTGTGTGACTATGGACGCTCAATGGCTCAATGGTACCGCTAAAATACCACACCTTGGACACCTGACACATGCTGGCATGTGCCTGTGCTATCATGTTGCATAGGTTACATTGTGTGAGCACTACATCATACCCTGCCTACACATCATACGATACAGAATATTCGACACAACTCCAACAAATTTCGCTTGTGAATATTCTCCATCGCCTTGGATTCACCATGTGTGGAACATCCATGTACATTGTGTTAGGGTTGAATCCGGCAGATCTCTGGTAGGGGCTCCTGAGCTAGTGATTTTTTTTAAAAACATCACCAACTTTATTAATTAGAATCCCCGCAAAAAACTTTATTAATTAGAAATAATTGTTACATCGTCTATAAGAGAAGTTACAATATTTTCCATGGGCTCTGGATCCAATCCCTACTCATGGAGCATTTTGCTAGTCTAGCTAGCTCATGAGCTACTTTGTTCGCTTCTCTATTACTATGTTATAAAATAGTAAGAGGAAAATCACAAGCCATAAAAAACAATCCTCAAAGATTGCAGCCGTCGCTCACAGAATGTCCTCCGTTCTTCATTGTGTCAATGACTTCCGTGTTGTCAGAATTGATAATGAGACGATTTCAGTCCGCCTTTTGTGCCAGCAATAAACCAAACCTAAGTGCTAACGCTTTCGCTGTCAGAGCATCCGCACAACACTCAATCTTCCAATTTCCACCTACAATGAAGTTTCCTTTCTCATCCTTGCTAACAGCACCCGCTGTGCCCCTTAGTTGATCATGGTCAAAAGAAGCATCCACATTCATTCAATTTAACAAACTTGACAAGAGGTCTGCTCCATCCTCCATTCTTCCTCTTTCCCTTAGGTGAGTGGGTATTTAGATAATTTGCCGTTATACCCTGAATCCCAATCGAGGTTTGGGATGCCTCTTGAGACTTTCCCTCATAGACTAGCTTTCGTCTATTCCACCATAAATATCATGCGGTTATAGCGATTAGCTCAAGAACCCAATCTTCTCTCTACTCTTAAAGGGAGAGTTGGTAGTCTCATCTCACCTCCCACAAAACCCTCCGCAAAATCATATGCCTGCAAATGTCTTATAGACTTTTCGCTCAAGCCCATCCAATTTGGGATGGCACATTTGACGCATGCATTAACTCAATCAAATATGCACTTTTTCAAAACAACGCCGCACATTAAATCATTAAAATCAAATGAAATCTTACCAAAATTGGTTGACCCATTTGAAGTGTGCATTGACTCAATCAAATCGACACTTTTGCATAACAAGATCGCGCATTAACTCATTCAAATTAAATCAAATCAAATTAAATCTTACCAAAATTGGTTGACCCATTTGACACGTGCATTAACTTAATCAAATTGATACTTTCCCAAAATAACGTCACACATTAACTGATTCAAATCAAATCAAATCTTACCAAAGTTTGCTTTTCCATTTAGAGATGCATTAACTCAAGTAAATTGACACTTCCCAAAACAACATCGCGCACTAACTATTTCCAACCAAATCAAATCTTACCAAAGTTGGCTGGCCCATTTGACGTGTGCCTGTGTTTTATTTTTCATATGTTTCATCTTTTTGTTTTTTGTTTCAGTTTTGTATGACCAATCTATTATTTTGCGCTCGGCATCTCTACTCCTAAAAGGAGAACCCGTACGTCATTTTCTTAGTATTCCCATCAATCCCTCCTTTCAACGATCCCCTTGAACCACTACAAAAAAAGACACATCCGTGACATTTTTGTCCGAAAGATAACTTTTTCTGTCATGCTTATGACACTTTTACGATGATAATTGTGACAAAACCACGTATCATCATAGATGTGGTGGGCTCCTACTTCTATAAAAAAATCATGACAGAAAATGGGCTTCTCGTCCTGGGCGGACCGGGGACGCACCTGCATGACATTCTTTGGGCCGTCCATGACGAAAAAATCGCGGTAGAAGCGAGGGCGAGGAAAATTTTGGGGGGTTCATGGTTACGGTGGGTGGTCGGGGCCGAGCGATGCATGGAGGTTTGCGCGTTTCTCTCGCACACGTACGCACGTGTGTGCGAGGCGTTGGGCTCTAACTGAACCCAAGCAAGGTGTTCGCTTACTGAACCCGAGCGATTGCACTAGCTACGTTACTGAACCCGAGCGATCGATCCCAATGTTGTTAACTGAACCCGAGCGATTCCTTCGCTACTGCTGCTAACTGAAGCTGATCGAACCTGCCTCTTGATGAACAAAGACCGTTGTTGGGGGTTGGATGAACAGTTCCCGATGGGGGTTAGATGAACAGGACCCCGTGATAGAAGAGGCTGTTGCCGCTGGATGAACAGGAGCTCGATCGAGGAGGCCACCACACCCGAGCCGGTTGGGGGTGGATGGACAGGACCCCGTGGAGGGCTGGTTGAACAATAGCCGATGGAGGCTAGATGAACAGTAGCCCATGGATGAACAGTAGTGGGTGGGGGCAGGAGGAAGGTCACGGTACATGAACAGTAGCAGGTGGAGGCTGGAGGAAGTCGACGGTGGACGAACAATAGCCCGTGGAAGCTAGAGCGAGGCAGTAGACGGTGGATGAACAGTAGCCCGTGGAGTCCCATTTTGCGGTACGCCACACCCCTCCCCATGAACAATACCCCATTTCGACCGTAGGCGCTCCAACACAAGTCTGTTTCCTCCGTTTTGCGATACGCCACACCCCTCCCGATCAACAGGACCCTGTTTCGACCGTAGGCACTCGAACAGAAAGTCATTTCCTTCGTTCTGTTGTACGCCAGACCCTTCCCGATGAACAGGACCCTGTTTCGACCGTACGCGATCAAATAGAAGGTCGTTTCGTCCGTTCTATGGTACGCCAAACCTCGTTTCAGCTGTTTTGTCCAAGCCGGTTGGCTCCCAACGAACATGCGATACTGTTTACTCTATTCCGACCCAGCCGGTTGGTTGCCGATGAACAGGACGACGTCGCTGTACGCGTTAGAGACCCTGCCTGTATGTACATACGTAGCCGTATTACTATCTTGCAACGTGGATGTACGTACGTGTACACGATATCGACGGGACTGCATGACATGCTACATCGGCGCCTCTACTTCAACGCGTGGCGCTCCTTACTAGGCCATGGTATATCGCTGCAGAGAGACCGATGGACCGCTATGTACATACATGTTTGCAGCCAGACATATGACGCTACCTTCGCTTCAACATGGTGGGTCCCAGCTGTCAGGATGTAAGAACGAACTTCCTTCTGTGCGAAGATGTAACTAGTGGGTCCCAGTTGTCAGGGGAAACATTTTTTCCGTAAAATACAGAGGCCCTTCCGATGGGTCCCCGCTGTCAGGTGGATGAATCATTATTTTGCGCGTAATAAGGAGGCACTTCCTTGCTGCTGCAGTGGACCCAGCTGTCAGCCTCTCCATGTACATCCCTCTTTCGATGGAAGCCGTTCCTTGACCACGATGCGCCGAGCGCACAAGGCGGTGGACGACGGCGAGGCCCCGGAAGGCAATGAGCTGTCGACAGGGAGACGCGGCAGTGGAGTCACAGACGGAGAGGTGTACGACGGTTAACTGGTTCTGGTGCGGCGTGGTTCTGCAGTTGACATTGAATAACAGGAGGTGTGGAGGGGTGGATGGATGGACTGGCCGGCGATGGGGTAGTGCTTCGCAATGAAGCGTGCTAAGCAGAGTTGCTAGCAGCCGGAGGCGGGAACAGGTGGTCCTGGCAGCACTAGAGGAAAAAGACGAGAGATTGAAGATGGATGCCGGCCGTTGGATGTAAATTCAATGGCTATTGATGTCAGAATCATTTGTTGACTAAGTTGACAACACCTTGCGTTGGCTTTGACCTATTGGCCCACATTTCAGCTTAAAAATTGCGGCACATATTCAACCCATTTTTTTTAGAATTTACAGTCTATTGCTCGGCTCGTGAGCAAAATAATGTTGCGTCCATGCGGCCCATTTTTTTCTAAAAAACTACAACCTATTTGCAGTTCCTCGAAATACATGAATTTGCTAGCTTGGGTGAACAAAAATGTAGCGTCAATGTGGCCAATTTATTTTTTCCTAAAACATCACAGCCCATTTGCACTTTCTCGAAATACACGATTTTGCTAGGCTGGTCCTAATTATAACGTTGGTGTTGGGGAACGTAGTAATTTCAAAAAAATTCCTACGCACACGCAAGATCATGGTGATGCATAGCAACGAGAGGGGAGAGTGTTGTCCACGTACCCTCGTAGACCGTAAGCGGAAGCGTTATGACAACGCGGTTGATGTAGTCGTACGTCTTCACGATCCGACCGATCCAAGCACCGAACGTATGGCACCTCCGAGTTCAGCACACGCTCAGCTCGATGACGATCCCCGGACTCCGATCCAGCAGGGTGTCGGGGATGAGTTCCGTCAGCATGACGGCGTGGTGAGGATGATGATTTTCTACCAACACAGGGCTTCGCCTAAGCACCACAACGATATGACCGAGGTGGAAGAGGGGGGCACTGCACACGACTTAGGAACGATCACGATGATCAACTTGTGTGTCTAGAGGTGCCCCTGCCCCCATATATAAAGGAGGGAGGGGGGAGGTGCGGCCGGCCCCCTAGGGGTGCGCCTGGAGGAGCCCTACTCCCACCGGGAGTAGGACTCCCCCCTCTTGCCTTGGTGGAGAAGGAAAGGGGGGAGGGGAAAGAGGAAAGCGGGGCGCCGCCCCCCT